CCAAAACCCTTGACATTGCCCCTTCCTCATCCACTGCCATTGCCCTCTTTCTGTCCTCTGGTCACACTGCCTCTCTCAGTTCCTCAAAGTTCTGTGTCATCTCTTACATCTGGACTTTCCTAAAAGCTATTATTTCCTCTTACTGGAGCATTCTTCTCCGCTATTTAGCTGATAATGTTTATCTTTCAGATGTCCACTTAAATGTCACTTTCTCAGGAAGGCCAGCTTAGGTTAGCCCTCCTTGCTACAAGTTCCTTTGGCATTCCATATTTTCCCTCTCTTAACTGTATCATACTTCATTGTTACTACTTTTTAAATGTCTTTGTACCATACTCTAAGATATGTCTGTTTTGGAAAATATGTATCATCAACACCTAGTAATGTGCCTAGTCCATAGTAGGTGCTTTACATAAATATGGTTGAGTTTAATCAGTGATTTACTTGCCTACATGTTCTAGCTAGCTATATTTCCATAGAACTGAGATTGTACATAGTTGTATTACCTGATTTCATTCTTTTTTAAGCATTGAATTAATTTTTATAGAGGTAATGTATTCATATAGTTCAAAAATCAAAAAGTATAAAAATGTATAAGTGAAGTCTCTTCTCCCACCCTAATGCCATCCATGCAGTTCCTACTTGCCTTTCACCCTGTTGCTAAGTTTTAAAGTATATTTTTAGATTTTCTTTGTGGAAATACAAGCAACTATACACATATTTACCCACTCTCACATTAATATTTCCTCCCTCTTCACACAAATGATGGAAAACTATATTTGCTATTTTGTACTTTGATTTTTTTCTGCTTAATATATCTTAGAGACTTTTTATATTGGTTTATAGAACATGTCTTTTTTGGTAGTTGCATAGTATTCCTTTTTTGATGCTACTGTAAATTTTGTTTTTGTTTGTTTGTTTTTTTGCTTTAATTCAGCTTGTTTGTTTCTGGTATATAGGAATACAATTGATTGTAGTATATTGGTTGTCTATCCTGCAATCTTGTTAAACTCCCTTATATTAGCTCTAGTAGTTTTTTATATATTCCAGCAGATCTTCTACATAGACAATAATGTTACCTATGCATAAAGACGGATTTACTTCTACTTTTTTAACTTAGATGTCTTTTATTTCTCTTTCTTGCCTTATTAACACTGGCTCCAGTGTGACCTCCCATATGATGTTGACCAGAAATGATTTTGAGAAATGACACCCTTGTCTTGGCCCAGTGTTAGTGGGAAAGTATTCAGTCTTTCACTAATAAGTTTCTTGCTACCATAAAATTAGCATATTTTTTCTTCCTTCTTTCTCCTCACCTTCTCTTCTATCACTAGATTTTAATCAATGTCATCTTAGTATTTATTTTTATACTGTTAAATGTGCTTCTAGTTCCAATATTAATTGTGAACTTTAGGAGATGTCTTTTGATTACCAACTTACAGATAAGGCCAGTGAATGTTTTCTACCTCTCACTTCTTTTCTCCTTCTCCTCCCAGTATAAATCTTTTCCTGATTGTCAGAAGGTGTCTATTCTGTCCCCCATGTGCCCATGTTGTTTCAGGCTTACTTTTGTAGTTAAATATAGTGAATGCTCATCACTACGGCTTTTGCTGTTGCTTCCCCAGTCATTTCTTGGTGGTTGAAGCATTTTCTTCACAAAGATTCATAAGAACAATCTTCTTTGAGGTGTTGCATCTTCAAATTGTTTGTCTCTAACTTTTATATTGAAAAACATTTTGGCTTTCATTAAGGATCTTGGAAATATTGCTCTATTATTCTGGCATTCAGTGTCACTGTGGGGAAATCTGAGGCTAGCCTCAGTTGTTTTTTTCCTGCTCTCCTAAGTGACTAATCTTTTGTCCTGGCCGTTTCTTTATTTTTGGAATCCAGTAACTTTACTGCATTGGGTCTCATTTTAGGCCGTTTTTCCCTGGGATATGACGTACTCTTTCAATATCTAGATTCAAGCCTTTTTATTTCAGGAAAACTTTATTGAATTATATCTTGAGCTATTTGTTTTGTTCCATTGTTTCAGTTTTCTCATTCAGAGATTCTAGTTAC